TGGACATTAAGAGTATGTCCGGATGCCGTTTGGCCTGAAAAACGCTCCAGCTACGTTTCAGAGAGTCATGGATAACGTTTTGAAATGCCTCTAAGGAGAAAATAATTTTTTAGTGTAGATACATGGTCGATACTATTGTGTTCAGCACATCTCTTCAAGAGAATCTGGTTTATCTTTCAAAAATCTTTTAACATCTCAGAGAAAGTGTATTCAAAATTCAAATGTGAGTTCCTAAAAAAGAAAGTTGCCTTTCTTAGACATATTGGACACCAGAAGGAGTTTAATTCAAGCCATACAGATCCTACTATCCAATACCGCCAATAACAAAGGAAATCCGAGGATTTCTAGGCCTCCTTGGATATTACAGGAAGTTTATCAAAGACTTCGTTAAAATTACTAAACCTCTAATTTCCTGCCTCAAAAAGGACGCTAAAATAGATCTGACACCAGAATTTTTGAACTGCATTGGAACTTGCATAAAATTTCTGACAAATCAACCTCTTCTGCAATATCCAAATTTCAGCAACTCTTAATCTATTTATTGATTCTAGCAACTCTGCAATAGGAGCTATACTATCCCAAGGACCAATTGGCAGCAATAAGACCATTGCATATGCCTCTAGGACACTCAACGAAAACGAGTTGAAATATTTCACCATTGAAAAGGAAATGTTAGCCATATTCTGGGCCACCAAGTACTTCAGACTCTACTTGTTTGGGAGAAAGTTCAAGATACTTTGAAATCACCGTCCTCTCCAAAGGCTTTTTTCCACACAATAGTTCCAAAATAGTCAGATTGCGTTTAAAACTGGAAGAGTTTGATTATGAGATAATCTATAGGAAAGGAAAATCAAACACCAATGCAGATGCTCTGTCCAGAGTCCGAATCCATACCAAAGAAATAGTCCAACCGCCACAAGATAAAAATAACGCATCTTTGTACAATAATGCAGAATCAATTCTCGACAAAGTTCTAGAGAAACCCGCTCCGCAAGCGAAGATACAAAAGCTTATCAGTAAAATCCTTGATAATTCAGAACCCTCACAAGCCGACCCGGAGGAAGATAACAAAACTAGACAAACTACTCAGAAAGAACCCTTACAATAACCAAATTGTGTTCAAGTCAATAATAGGAATAACCTTCCCTAACAAATCCAGGCTACATGTCCAAGTAAGCAAGAATAACTTAGATCTGAAAGAAGTTGTATATAAATCAGTCAAACAAATACGTTAAGAATCCATCAAAACCTAAATTCATGAATACCTAACCCCCACTAGACCTTTGGAAATTATTCATCTAGATACCTTTCAAGCCGGAGGGTAAAAATTTTCAACATTTATTGATTCCTTCTCAAAATATGGACAAACCCATAGAGAGATCAAATTTAGTGAATGATCTTAATGCCCTCCTAATGTTCATAACTCATCATGGAATACCACACATAATAATCACCGATAGTGGAACAGAATTTAGGAATGGACTTATGCAGGAATTCGTAGATACATATAAGATATCTATCCATTATACTACCCCTGATAACCTACAATCCAACGGCATTATAGAAAGATTCCACTCTACCATTATCGAACACCTAAGGATATACCGAGAGAATAGAAAATCCTTAAGCGTTAAAGAACATATGCCATATGCACTTCTCGGATACAATAATTCTATCCATTCAATGACAAACGTGCGACCAATGGATATATTGCCTGGTCACCTGGATGCGCAGGATCCGTTTGACGTTGACGTCAGGAAAACACTAATAAATAATTATAGCCAGCAACAAAGGGAAAAAAAGAAAACCTTCTACAGGAAATTGAGTCAAAAGCTACATGAATCCAAATAAAAGTACACAGGGAGAAGAAAAATATCCAGGCAAACCCTCCTCCCCTACAAATTTAGCACAAAGATCTAGACCTGGAAAACTGTAACGCGGAACAAACTACTTCCAAGATTTTCTCCTAATACAATTAACACTGACAATATTGTGACCATTGACACTCAAGACACGACAATACATAAAAAATCTATTAACGCATTTCGTGCCATGGTCATATAGGAAAAACTTTCCCGGGAGCCAAGCCGCGTCACCTGTATATTGGTGACACTGAAAAAATCTCTGTACTATTATATATTTATTATTCCAGATATCTGCAGAGATTCGATAATCACTGAAAAAATGAACCTTGTTTACTCGGTTTTGATTGTCAAGAAATAGGTTCATTTCCCGAAAATCAACTTTTCATGGCAAAGTTCAAGACCGAGATTACAAGGTTCTTTTATTCACAGTTTTACTAAATTGGCGATAAAAAGAATATTTGAATATATTTACTCACACCAAAAATATGAAAAAGTTTCTCAGGGAGCCACCTTGAATACAGACCATTAAAAATACATATAACGTCACCAAAGGAACGGTGACGCGGCTTTATTCTGCACACCATGCAGAATAAATTCTCGACATAGAAGTTCTAGAGAAACCCGCTCCGTAAGCGAAGATACAAAAGGTTAACAGTGAAATCCTTGATAATTCAGAACCCATACAAGCCGACCCGGAAAAAGATAACGAAACTAAACACACTGCTCAGGAAGAACTTATTATCGGCATTCTAATTAGCGAAAGAACCCTTACTACAATAACCAAATTGTGCTCAAGTCAATAATAGGAGTGGCCTTCCATAACAAATCCAGGCTACATGTCCAAGTAAGCAAGAATAATTTAGATCCGAAAGAAAATGTATACGAATTAGTCAAACAAATACGATAAAAATCTAGCGAAACCTAAATTCATTATTACCCAACACCGACTAGACCTTTGGAAATTATTCATCTAGATACTTTTCAAGCCGAAAGGCAAACATTTTCAACATTTATTGATTCCTTGTCAAAATATGGACAAGCCTATTCCATAGAGGGATCAAATTCAGTGAATGTTCTTAATGCCTTCCTAATGTTTATAACTCATCATGGAATACCACACATAATAGTCACTGATAGTGGAACAGAATTTAGGAATGAATTCATGCAGGAATTCGTAGATGCATATAAGATATATATCCATTATACTACCCCTGATAATCCACAATCCAACGGGATGAACCGAAGACCTGAGGATACATCGCGAAAATGAAAAATCCTTAAGCGTTAAAGAACAAATGCCATATGCACTGCTCGGATACAATAATTCTATCCATTCAATGACAAACATGCGACCAATGGATATATTGACTGGTCACCTGGATGCGAAGGATCCGTTTGACGTTGACGTCGCCAATACCGCGAATCACGAAGGAAATCCGAGGATTTCTAGGATATTACAGGACTTCGCTGAAGCTACTAAACCTCTAATTTCCTGCCTTAAAAAGGACGCCTAAATAGAACTGACACCAGAATTTTTGAACTGCATTATGCAGGAATTCGTAGAGACACATAAGATATCTATCCATAATATACCCCTGATAACCCACAATCCAACGGGATGATAGAAAGATTCCACTCCACCATTATCGAACACCTGAGGATATACCGAGCAAATAAAAAATCAAGCGTTAAAGAACAAATGCCATATGCACTTCTCGGATACAATAATTCTATCCATTCAATGCCAAACATGCGACCAATGGATATATTGACTGGTCACCTGGATGCGAAGGATCCGTTTGACGTTGACGTCGGGAAAATGAGGCAAACACTTATAAATAATTATATCCAGCAATACAGGGAAAAAACGAAGACTATCCAAAGAAAAGTATATAGGGAACAAAAACATATCCAGGCAAACTTCCCTCAGCTACAAACTTAGCACAAAGATCTAGACCAGGAAAACTGTAAGGCGAAACAAATTACTTCCAAGATTCTCTCCTAATTCAGTTAACACTAACAATATTGTGACCATTGACACTAAAGACACGACAATACATAAAAAATATATTAAAAATCTTCCAGAAAATATTTCAAGAAATTCCTTACAGATAACGCCTTTAGTGATGCCGCGAGACTAAACGAGACAAGACGAGAATACGCTCTCCCATTCTTCGAAAGAAAATGAGTTTCTCGTCTCGACGAGTGAGTCTGTCGTCTCGACGAGTGAATCCTGATACGAGATGAGAGAGCTCTTCTCTCAATCCACAATGCTCAGCAAATTGATGAAGCAGTTTTTAGTAGAGCAGCCACTAAAGTTATCAAACGTTAACATGAAGTTGAAGCAAAGCCCCATAATGCTGAGACATTTAAATTAGGAAAATAAATTCCTCTAAAACTGATCATTCTTAACTGTTTACCTCTACTATTGAACCTTTGCTATAAAATCATCGAGAATAATTTGAAACAATATCAACCTTAAAAATTTGAAATACTCAAATCCGCAATCGCTTTGAAAAAAAATAACAAAGCCTGTTTCAGATGTAATTCGTGTTGCAGTCAAGGAACAAAACATTGAATACTTGCTCTGCAAACTCTAAATCTACAAAGCTTAGGTACTGACAATGAAATTACTCCAGTTTTGATTGTAAATTCCTCAATTATTATGATCAAAACACAAGCACAAATTCAAATCAAAATCCACCTTCGATAATAATTATATCACAATAAACTAACTTTATTATACCTATAGATTTACATATCAATAGTCCCAATCTAGATCAAACTAATTGGTTATTTGTAATGTCGTTTAATTGGTATTCCAGAGACAATTAAAATTTATATTGGAACAACGCTAGTAAACTGAGTAGCTCCCGATATGAATTTTAATTTCCTCCTAGTTTCCCCCCTCATACGATTAAAACAAATGGGAAACAGTAATAAGTATATTGTTTCGAATTAATTGACCCGGAATTGAATTTCATGCAGTTTTGAAGTGGATGAACCCATTTTATGATCCGTCGCCTATCCACGATTACCATTTTCATTTGTAATTTAGCTCCGGGGCCCAAGTGTTTATTATTCCGATTAAATTTTCGTTTTAAATATAAATTTGAAATTCGTGATGGAACTTACCGCCAAGGATGAACAGTCCGCACGCTATAATGGTTTTATTGTCGTTGTTACAATGGCCCAAAAGACCGAAGAATACGGCCAGGACGAGCAGGATAACTGCTGCGCTGCACAGCATCGCACACGATCTGAAATCAAAAAGCTTAATTTTATTTCCTCGAATTGCACTCGAGGGTTGAGTATACCTTCTTCCGGAGAAAAATATTCATTTTAATTAGGAGGAAAACCAACTTTCAATTAATTATAAGTTTTAACTTAAACATAATTCAGAAATTTTGCTTGTCAGTGGGAATTTAATATTTAACTTTCCTTATTTAAGTTTCGGCGCGCAGGAAATTGATTTAAATGCAGTCGGTTTGATGTGAAAATGTTTAATTTATTCGGCGTTTTTCTTCTTACTTTTAAACTTATGTTGACTGGAATTATAACAAAAGGTATTTGCTTTTCCTTCAAATTTTCATACACATTTCAATTTTTGATATTTTTGTGGTTTCGGAAGAAACAACAATGCTCGAGAAATACAATCATTATTATTTTCTCAATTTATATCAAATCTAGTTATCCCATCTATCCAAAGTTTTGAGGTTGAAGATTTAGCTGTGTAGCACTATTTTAGGTCTCCCTGTATATCGTGATGTTTTAAGGATTTTTCGACTTACAGTTACGGTTATCTCGGGCGTCACCCTTTGGATTATGGTGGTAAAGGGCCCACCTGCACCAGGTTGCAGGTTGCTATACAGAGGAGAAACGATATGCCAGGGGTCATAGATCCGATATGGGTAAAAATAAAACCAACAATTAGCGTTCGTGTTTGCCAAAATATACTTATAATAAGCTAAAGCAGTTTTTCTTAATCCTAACCAGTAATCACCCTGTATATTGTAAATCTTAGAACCTACTTCAGAGAGAAAGGAGAACCTGGGAAAGTGTGCGTGTTTCGGTTGCGGTAAATTATGATCGGAACCGGGGTCACTTGCGAATAATATGGTGTAATATTTAGTGTACGGACGGTTTGGTGAGGTCAGAGGGTAAAAGACTCTCGACCGCAAATGGATAAAACGACACTAACATGAAACAGAAAACAGAAAATTACCCACCATCGTTTCCACCTGGTATACATGATTCGCAAATATAAAATACGCATGCGCGTGTGAGATTGTTGAACAGTAGGTTGCTTACAGGTAAGAAACAGAATAAAACGAAGAGACAGAGAAAGCATCGCCCTCCTCGTCATACAAACTGTAATACGGGGGCCTGTTGGCATGGCGAGATGGCGTAGCTGTACCCTTCCCCTTGAGTCCGATGTAGCACGGGTCCACACCGACGCAAGGAGGAGAACTCATTCTAACATGGACAACAGAGAAGTGTCTAACAATCCTAATCTACGCAGTCATAGCATTTGTAATACAGGGCCTGATGGCATGACGTCACAGACTTCGTCAGCACTCATCCCCTCGCACCGGACGTAGTACGGGTCCGTACCGAAGCAAGAAGCAGAGAGATAGACAAATCTCCGTAAAATATAGAATGCTGAATATTCCTTGACATGCGCAGAGACGTTTCTGCTCGGGCGCCATTTTTGTAGCGCCATTTTAGATCCCCCTGTATATCGTGATGTTTTAGGGATTTTTCGACTTACAGTCCAACGTTATCTCGGGCGCCACGCTTTGGATTATGGTGGTAAAGGGCCCACCTGCACCAGGTTGCTTTTATCCAGTAGAGAAACGGTATGCCAGTGGTCATAGATAAGATATGGGTAAAAATAAAACCAACAATTAAGGAAAATAAAGCATCGTTCGTGTTTGCCAAAATATACTTATAATAAGCTAAACCAGTTCTTCTTAACCCTAACCAGTAATCACCCTGTATATTGTAAACCTTAGAACCTACTTCAGAGAGAAAGGAGAACCTGGAAAAGTATGCGTGCTTACGGTTACGGTAAATTGTGATCGGAACCAGGGTTACTTGCGAACAATACGGTAAAATATTTAGTGTACGAACGGTTTAGTGACGTCAGACGGTAAAATACTCTCGACCGCAAACGGATAAAACGACACAAACATGAAACAGAGAACAAAAAACGAACCACCGTCGCTCCCACCTGGTATACATGATTCGCAAATATAAAATACGCATGCGCGTCTGAGATTGTTGAACAGTAGGTTGCTTACAGGTAAGAAATAGAATAAAACGAAGCGAGAGCGAAAGTATCGCTCTCCTCGTCATACCATTTGTAATACGAGGCCTTATGGCATGACGTCACAGACTTCGTCCGCACTCATCTCCTCGCACCGGACGTAGTACGGTTTCGTATCAAAGCAAGAGGCAGAGAGATTGACAAATCTCTGTAAAATATAGAATGCTGAATATTCCTAGACATACGCAGAGACGTCCCTGCTCGGGCGCCATTTTTGTAGCGCTATTATAGGTCTCCCTGTATATCATGATGTTTAAGGGATTTTTCGACTTACAATCCAACGGTTATCTCGGGCGCTACGAGGGCGCCACCCTTTGGATTATGGTGGTGAAGGGCCCACCTGCACCAGGTTGCTTTTATACAGTAAAGAAAGGGTATGCCAGGTGTCATAGATATGGATAAAAATAAAACCAACAATTAAGGAAAATAAAGCATCGTTCGTGTTGGCCAAAATATACTTATAATAAGCTAAACCAGGTCTTCTTAATCCTAACCAGTAATCAACCTGTATATTGTAAACCTTAGAAGCTACTTCAGAGAGAAAGGAAAAATTTGAAATGTAAAGAAGATCGAATGTCTGTGATAGCAGATATAACTCATCAAAGTGCGTAGGTCCTGCTATGCTATGCATAGGAAATATCTGAGGAAATATCCCTACGTGCATTTTCTTGAATAGCTCGAAAAATACCGATCCAATTTTGACGTTTTTGGGGTCTTTTTGTAGGTATCAAACTCCAAAATGAGATTAGTATTTTTCGAGATATTCAAGAAAATCTACGTAAGGATATTTCTTCGGATATTTTCTATGCATAGCATAGCAGAACCTACGTACTTTGATGAGCTATATCTGCTATCACAGACATACGATCCTCTTTACATTTCAGTTTCATTTTTGCAATGATGATACCTTCAAAATATTGAAATTTGGTTGAAATTTACGGGGGCCTATTTTCAATGGTAATTGTGCCTTACAAACTCCCTGCTTTTTGAATTCTTTCTGATACTTGTTCTAGATGCCTGTCTCTGATTACAATACATGAGGGTTGTAGACAAATAATAGTATTAAACTATATTAGTCTAGCTTTACCTAAATTGCCAGCAATAAACATAAACGAGAATTTTAATGGGCACTAACTACTAAAAACACTTAGTTCTTTAATGTTTGTTGTAGTTTAAATTTACCGTTGCTGGAGAAATATTTGACTTAACTTAAAAGTTTATGTATGTTTCGAAGAATATTGTTAGGGAAACAATAATATTCTGGAGTGCTGCGGTTTCATAAATAATTTCAAAGAAAATTCCCAAAAGAATACAAAAGTAAATAACAATCGCAGACAACAAAAACCAAATATTGACTTTAATCGATTAGTTTTTTCTTTATGGGTCCCAATCCGCCCCTGGCGAATTATATTGGAATCGACGATTTTATTTCGAGCTCATTAAACTCCGGGTATCAAAATGATACGAATTCATGGGGAGCGTGAAACTTCCAATATATTTATACGAAGAACTGTTTGAGAAAGATTAAAAGCGACTTTTCTGATTATAGAGCTTGCAAAGAGAGATAGAGGAAGGCTTTGTGTCTGTGTTTCTTTTCTTAAAACTCATTGAGTATAGCGTGAAATGAAATAAGTTTCCAAATAAAAACTTATGCTTGGTAGATAAGAAAAGCACTCAAAGAATGGAAAAAAATGAGAAGACAGTAGTAGTATACCTTGCAGGGTTTTGCAACCGTCCTAAGCAACGATGGACAAGGAGAGTCTCAGAGGCTGAGTTTTTCACCGCGAAATCGATGACAATGAGAATAGAATACAAGGTAATCATACTCGGTATCTCAGTATTGTCAACTATACTTATTCACTAATTTAAACCCAATATAATTTCGTAACAAATTAATATATTTAACAAAATAATTATACGAACGATACAATATTATTTAAAGACCGATTTAGTTTTCACGACTGTCGTATTCGACTGACTAATCCTTTTCTTTTGTCGCTTACGTGGCCGACCCCGTAGTTCCTTCATTGTTTACATGTTTTTTTCTTTGAACGCGGGTTTTTGCTTGGAGCGTTTACAGTCGGCTGACCTGACCATCTTCACGTCCTCGAGACAGCGTATCTATAAGTCTTCGACAATTTGGATCGGTAATATTTACATTTAAAGCCTCGACCTCTACCATTTTAGTGCCAGGATGGTATTCGATGTCGAAATCGTACTCTTGTATAGTAAGCCACCACCTTGCGACTCGTGGAATCAGTTCCCTTTTCATCAAAGTATGGCAAAGGGAGTTGCAGTCGGTTAAAACTTTAAATTCCACTCCAAATAGATAGATACGAAATTTCTTTAGTGCATCTACCACTGCCAATGACTCCAAATCATAAGAGTGATATTTTTGTTCTTCCTGTGTTGTAGTGCGGCTATAATATTGTATAGGCTTTAAGGTGTCATCTTCCTGCTTTTGAAAAAAAATTGCGCCTATTCCAATCTTGCGGACATCACAGTGCATCTCCGTAACGGCTTCCCTGTTATAGATAGCCAGAATAGGTTGTTACGTTCAAATTTTGCCTTAGTACGTAACTGGAGATTTCGAATAAATTCAATAATTAATATTTGTGAGGGTATTTATGACGCTTAATACTTGAGGATTATTATTTTTCGGTGATTGATAGGTTTCTCATTGGATTTTACTAGTTTTCTGCCTTTTTGATTGAATGCGAAACAATATGTGGGTGTTGAACAAAGGTATATTTTTCGGGGTAATACTGAGTTAATTCTTTGTATTCAGATGACAGGGTAGTTATAGGATAATAAAACCCTACTAATAGGATCGAAATCTATTTTATTTAGCTTACGAAAGTTGTCTAAAAAGCCCTAGCTGTTGATGAAAATGTTTGTTTACTTCCGAATAAATATCAATTGGCAACACTT